CCGTGCCAGGTGCAGGGTCTGCTGGCTGGGTGCTGGCAGGCTTGCACCTGGCACGGGCACCGTAGCCAGCCCGTGCCCCTTTAAGGGGTCCGGGGCCGGGAGGGGGGCAGACGAGTTTCCCTGGTGTTGGCCAGAGTGGCCACCAGGGAAACCTGGGGAGGGCTAGCCTCCCACTAGTTCGAATTAAGGGGCTACACAGCCCTTAGTTCGAACTAGCTAGTTCGAACTAGGCTTAATCCTCGTAAAATGAGGTTTTCCTAGTTCGAACTAAGCGCTCCGCTAGTTCGATTCAAATTCGAACTAGCGGAGCGCTAGTGTAGAGGCTATGAATGTTAGTTCGAACTAACGTCCGTTAGTTCGAACTAACATTGTAGTGTAGACATACCCTGGGTTACCAACAATGCCCTAGTTGTGTTTATTTATTAGCAATTCCAGTTCTTCCTGCTTGTTACCAGTACTTCTTGCATTTGTACACAGGCATCTAAGATACTCATTTGATTTTGCCTCCCAGTTCTGCCTTGTCCCTCCTTTCTCTCCGGTGTTACCGCCCACGCTCCCTCCCATTTCCAACCCATCTCCCAGGTCTCCATGCTCTTCACTTACCTTTGAACCCAGCTCTGCTTCCAGAGAGACTCGGTGCCGTAGAAGGGGAGCGGCCGCCTGGCTGTAAAACATTTATTGCCCTGGTGCATGAGATGGCAGGTCCCTTGTGTTCAGTTTCCTTTAACCAGAAGAAACCAAGATGTTAAATATATTAGAACGTACACGTGGAGATCAGAGACCTTGCCACAAACACCAGACAGGTGCAAACACCATGTAGGGAGAGAAATGACAGGGGGATTGATTCAGGCTGAAGTGGGGGATGAGGGTGGGTGCAAGGAAATCGTTATTTGGGGTATTTAACTATCGGAGCAACTTCCCACGGGGCAGGAGGGTGGATCCCCCCCCCCCCTTGGAGCCGTTTACTTGAGCTTGGGCAACACTTTCTGAGCCACCTGCTCCCCCACCGGTCACAGGGGGCGAGTCTTTGGCCTTAACACGACTAGAAGACGAAGGCCCCTGCGCTAACCCGGCCCTGGCTGGGCCATGTGGTATCTCATGTGCAGTGATGGGCTGTAGTCGTGTGCCGGGATTTACACACGAGGGTGCAACAGAAACCTCCCCGCCCAGATGGTGCAATGGGAACCCGCCCCAGAGCAGCCTGGGAAAACCCAACTCACAGTAAAACAGCAGCATCCTCTCCCCTTCCCCACGTGTCACAAATCAGACTCCCCCCCTCAAATCCCATCTCTCCCGGCCCTCCGCAAACACCTGCCCCCATCTCAGCTGCCTGCTGGAACCTGCCCCACACGTGGGCTTTGCAGGCCAAGAGATTGAGGCATTTTCAGACCAGTGAGTCCCCTGCCAGCACCTCCCCCACCCGCCCAGCAGAGCAGGGTCACAGGATGAGAAGGGAGGGGTCTCAGGAAGAGGGGGGTCGGGGGGCTCAGGCAGGGAGGGGCTCAGGCCATTTCCGGCTCCTCGTGTCAAAGCCAATGTGTCAAACCCCCAGGGAAGCCGACGGACACACCCTGAGCACGGATGTGACAGAGCCCAGCACCTCCCCCCCAGCCAGCCCAGGCCTGGAGCCCACTGGAGGCTCGTGACACACCCAGGACCTCCGCACGCAGCTCTGGGGGGGCAGGGAGGCAGAGCAGACCCGGGCCCCGCCTGCACTCCGGGTGCACGGGAAGGGTGTTTTCTGGTTTTGTAGGGGCCGTCCTGCTGCAGTGGGACATGGAGCATTTTTTCTTTGCACTAGGATTGCCAGATGGCTTAACCAAGAATACCGAACACGCCTTCCCCCCCAAAAAAAAACACCGGGAAAAAAATTCTGTTGAGGGGGAAAAAAAAAGGACCCCGACAGCAGTTATTAAGCAAATAAATAAATACAATTGAAAAATTTAAAATCAGCATGGCCCCTCAGAGGTCCCATGACACAGATGGAAGGGAAGCATTCCGCCTGGATCAGGAGGGGAAAGAGCATGGCTCCGTGGCCCGGATGGAGGCCTGGCGGGTGAGAGCTGGGCCGGGTGGAGGGGCTGGGGGAACCGGGGGCTGGGCCCGGTTGCTGAGTGTGTCCATGGGGTTGCCAGGTGTCTGGTATTTTTATCACCTGGCAGGGAAAAAGCCAGTCCTGTTTTTTCTGAATTTTTTTTACCGGACAGGAGGTGAAAATACCGGACTGTGCGGGTCAATACCGGACACCTGGCAACCCTGCCGGGGTGGGATTGGCGCAGCAACATCCCTCGGGGTGCGGATGCCATTTCCATGGGCGGTTCTCAGCCCTGCCCCAGGGTTCAGACTGGCGCAGCTGCATGTACCACCTGACAAGCACCAACCCCAGGGGGGGCGAAGTATTGATTTGGGGGGGGGTCTATTTCGGGTGCGGTGGGGACACGGCTAACACGGCTGAGAACAGAGCGTGGGAACAGTCACACACGGGCCCCCGGGGGATGGGCGGGCTGGGATCCAACAGGCCTTTTCCATCCCTGCAGTCCCATCTTCAGAGGCAGGTGATGGGGCAAAGGCAGCAGCCACTGACACAGCTGCCCAGGTTCCCTCTAATCCTTCCCAGCCATGTGTGGAATAAAATTTTAAATGCACCAAGGAATGTGCACCACTCAGAGAAACACAAACCTCACACTGAGCACTCTCCTAATCAGTCAGGTGGCATTTGAATCTCTCCAGAGCAGCCGCACAAGCGCCCGGCTCACAGGAAACGCTGCAGCTCCCCCCTCCCCCCAAGACAGAACCGAGTCACTCCCAGATCTGTGTGCTCAGGGTGGGAGCAAACGCATCTCCCTGCGATCGAAAGGGACTTTGCGCCGTGCAAGGGGAGCGGCTCCGGGCTGTAAAACGTTTATCGCCCTGGTGCAGGAGCCGTTAGATCCCCGGGGTTCAGAGTCCCCGTCACTGGATACAACCAGGTGTCACGGGGCGGGACTCACGGCCGCGGCGCCTCCTGCTGGTAGCTCCAGGGAATTGGCCCTTTCAGCAGCAGGGCTGGTGTCTCCGTCCCATCCCCCGTGCTCCACACTCTTGCTCCAGACCCACGTCGCTTACAGGCCCCAGCATCCTCTGTGACCCCAGGGACCCCGGCAGCACTGGAGCGAGTAAGGTGCCTCGTCACCTCCCCCACCCTCAGGCTGGCCGGTGACTCTGCGGCTGCCCCTCTGAACTCTGGGCCTGAGCGACTGGGCGAGGTGTCGTGTGAATTTCCCAGGCTCCTGCGCCGGGGCTGCAGCCGGTTCTGTGCAGGATGGATGGGGAGGGACCCGGACACTGAACCCGGCCTGGGCTGTGCTGGTGCGACCTGGCAGACGGGTTACAGGTAGGACATGGTTTGAACCAGGGATGGCCCTGCCTTTGAATCAGTTTCTGACACCAGGGTCACCTCAGCCTCATCCCTTCTCTGGGCTCCAGGAGATCCCAGGGCCTGGCTGGCCGGCGTCCCACTGGGGAAGAAATCGGTGTCACGGAGTCGGGGCATTTTCTGATCTGAACTTGTTTATTTTCACTGTCAACACCCATGTTTGCACAGAGGGGTCACACACTGCACCCAGGAAACCCCTCTTTCAAAAACCTCAGTCCACGATGCTATTCTGCAACAAAGCTGATCATAGGGAAAAGTAAACCTTCTTGACTTCTGCAATAGCTGAAGGGTGTGCCTACACAGAAGGGCTTAACTCGAAATAAGCTATGTAAATGTGAATTGTGTAGCTTATTTCAAAGTACCTTTTTTGAAATTGAGAGTGTCTACACAGCACTTATTTTGAAATAGAGCCCTCTTCCTCCAACTTCTCTTACTCCTCGTACAATGAGGGTTACAGGAGCTGGAGCAAGAAGTCCTCCAGCATTTTGACATTATTTCAAAGTAACTGCCTGCTGTGTAGACACGGACTGAGTTATTTCCAAATACCCTTGCTGTGTAGACGTACCCAAAGACCCTGTATCACAACACTTGCAATGCTACAGCATGTCTTCAAAGACTGACCCTTTGCTTGTGCACTAAGAAACAACACTACAGACTATGCACATCAATGCCCCCTGATGTTGAGTCCCAGCCTAACAATACATGAAATGAAATAAATAATCCGGTTTTTTTAAACTAACTCTGTCAGGAAGCAAGACGGGGGGTGGAGGCCAGCTCCCTAAGTGCTGTAATGTGACAACAGGGCTTAGGCGGGTGTGAGTCTGGCTGAGATGTGCGGATGACAGTAAACACACCTGGGCTCCAAGCAGTCTTTACTCAGTGCTACAGGTTGTCTTTGCAGACTGTAACCAATTCACCCACCCAGCACCCCCTGGGAAACGGGAAAGCGGGTGAGGGGCTAAGATACGAGGACAGACACAGAAACACCAACTTTCTCTGGAGTCGCAGAACCCTCAGGAGGCATCGAGTCCAGCCCCCTGCTCTAGGCAGGACCAACCCAACTAAACCATCTCAGCCAGGGCTTTGTCAAGCTGGGATTTAAACACCTCTAGGGATGAAGTCTCCAGCTCCCCCCTACCCAGCCCATCCCAGTGCTTCCCCACCCCCCTAGGGAAATAGTTTTTCCTAATATCCAACCTGGACCTCTCCCACCACAACTTGAGCCCATTGCTCCTTGTTCTGCCATCTGCCCCCACTGAGAACAGCCTCTCTCCATCCTCTTTGGAACCTCCCTTCAGGGAGCTGCAGGCTGCTCTCCACCCCCCCTCCCCTCCCTCTTCTCTTCTGCAGACTAAACAGACCCAACTCCCTCAGCCTCTTCTCATAGATCATGTGCTCCAGCCCCCTCATCATTTTGGTCGCCCTCCGCTGGACCCTCTCCAATGAGTCCACGTCCTTTCTGTAGTGTAGGGCCCAGAACTGGATGCAACAGGCCTTTTTATTGTTCTTGTGGCTTTTCCCTGGAACCTCTTAATTTATCAATATCCGTCTCGGACTGAGAGCATCAGAGGTGGTCAGAGGATTCCAGCAAGGGTTGCACCAACACAAAGGGGAGATAACCTCTCTGCTCCTGCTCCACATCCCCATCTATGCACCAAGATTCACGTTAGTCCTTCCGGTCACAGCATCGTCCCGGACGCTCATCTGGTTACCCACCCACCGCACCTCCAACCAGAGTCACTGCGGCCCAGGAGAGTCCCTCCTCCAGTGAGCCAGCTCTGCGGCTCTATTTCAAGGCGTGCACCTAGCACTCAGGGGCAGGCTCTTCCTTTTCTCAAGCACCAGTTTTCTGTTTCTCCGACAGGCCAGGCAGAGATGAGCTGTGGTCGGACTCAGGGACAGTGACTGTGGAGAGAGATTTCTCACCGTCTGTGGGTAACCCTACGGAGACCAAGATAGAAAGGGAGGGGGGAGGACAGTTCATAGGCGAGGATGCTCTCCTGGTGTTTGAGACCATGGCCTACCATTGCAGTGGGTCAAACACTGTCCAAAGGAAAAAGGACGTGGTCAGAAAACGACATTTCATCAAAATTTAAACATGTCGCGGGAATTATTTTCATCCGTGTTAAGCAGCTGTCCCAAAGCCTGAGGCTTTCTTACACCAGCTACACGGCCAGGACCTGGCGAAAGCTTGACTCTGGAGCTCAGTGCGGCACTGGGAGAGACGGAGAACTGGAGGCAGGTTCACACTGACAGAACATTCCCTGGTGCTAAGGAACCCAGGGACTAACGGAGGAGGCAGGAACCGTTTCTCCATTCCCTGTGGAGCTGGCGCCCGCAGCAGAGAAACACGTTTTGTCCATCTCGCGCCCGCCTCTCGGTCCAGAGACGTGACCTTCGAATCTAAACAAGAGAGTCACTCTCAGTGTTCTGGCACTGCCTCAGCACCCGCCGCCAGGGAGACACGACACCGCTCACATGGTTCACGGGGAGGGGGACGGGGATGCCCCCACAGAGCAGAAGCTTTCCACGGCTTTCCCGTCCCGGTCTCTCCCCTGAATCATCTCACTTTTGTAAGCAGCCAAACGCCACCGGGCTCTGGGGACAGAGGGACTGTGCCTGGGCATTTTGTCTAGCTACACACATGGCACAGAGCTCCTCAAAGTGCAGTGAAAAGCAACTCACAGACTCACCTTTGCCTAAGATCCGTGACATGCACCTAGCAGG